GGAAGCGTCCGAGCCAGAGACCTCTTCAGAGGCCCGCGCTGAGGTATCCCAAGTATCCAACTGCCCTTTCGATTGCCGTATGAAGTGAACGCGCATGATACAGGCCCGGGAAAAGTAGTGAACATTCATGCTGTACTCATCCGTCAAAGCCCCCTCCTCCCCCAAATGATCAAAATTGGCGGTGGCTCTGATGAGTTGCACTTCGACCGCAGTCTTCTCCGTGCGTACCAACTTTGAATTTCGAGGGAGGAAGAGGGCCCCTCAATTGTTTCCCTCTACCGTAACATCTATGGATTACTCGACGGTTGAACTACTGACTGTCCTTAACGCTTCTCAACTCCCCCAACTGCCACACACCCTATCGTAATGTGGTAATTGGGGCAGTTGAGAAAACATTGGAATGGCCTATTTCAATTTGTTGTCGTAATCCGCCACCGTGCCAGAAGGTACTGAATTGAGCGTCCTCACGTCCATTCGAATAATCTGTACCCAGTTTGGGAATTGCTCCGTAAGGCAACCCCGAATGGACACACGAGGTCCCCAAGACGGCCCCAAGAGGGAGAAGCCGACCTGACTTGTCGAGCTTTTCCCTGCCTGGTCAACGAAACTCGCCTGGACATCCTTCCTGGACAGGATGGTGGGGATGCGCGAAGCGCCAAGAACATACTCGACCGGCTGCCCACCCTCGGTGTCTCACGGCGCCCAGGACCGACCTTCACAGCCAAGCCCAGGTTCAACGCTTTCAGCACCTTGAACACCACGGCATCCTCTGGCTCGCCCTCCAATCTCTCGTCCGCTGCAGCCGCCACACCATCGACAGCTGCTGCCCCGTCGGTGGCGCTTGCCGCCGCGGGCCGCTTGCGCGCGGCGGCAGGGCGCCCGGGCCGCGCCTCAGCCTCTGCTGCCGCGGCACCTTCTGCCCCGGCCGCCTCCTGCGAGGCGGGGGATTATCTATATCCATCGCTTGCGGGATCGATGTCCCGGGGCCCCAAAGATTCGTGGGCATGGATACATATGGGCATCCCTGGCTCACCCAAACATATACAAATGTGTATATATATACATACATACATCTATTACATACAAATATACATAGAGGATCACACAGATCAGAGCAGCATATAGATCGGCACTCTCATCGATCCGCCACGGTGCCCCTGAAGCACGAGCCGGAGTGCCCTCAGAGATCCCTTGCTCGCTCCCCTGGAGCCTCAGCTCCCACTCCTGCAGCTCCTTGGCGGGGCCCGGGCCCGAAATCGCCAACGCTTTCCCAGGCTCGGCGCGGGCCTCCGAGGCTCCGTCGCGGCTCGTCGCGCGACTTTTCGGGGATGGCTCCAAGACGGCCCAAGAAGCTCCCGATGCGCGCCAAGAGAGCCCGAAGAGCCTTCCCAAGCGGGCACCGATAGGTCAACATCATCGATGATCCTTACGTCTGTCGGTGTCTTCGGGCCCTCGATTTGTCGAGCTTCCGACGCTCCAAGACGGCCCAGGAGGTCCCCAAGACTACCCCAAGACGGCCAAAGAGGTCCCCAAGAGGACTCCAAGTCCAAGCCCCAAGAAGGGCCCAAGAGGGGGAACAGGAACGGATCAATCCGAGTCTTCCGCCCCAAGGACCCCCCAGGAGGCCCCAAGATGCCCCTAATGATGCCCCAAGAGACCCCCAAGAGGCCCCCAAGATGCCCCAAGAGGCCCAAAAACGGCCACCACGAGGCCCCAAAACAGGCCTCCCGCGACACCCCACCGAACATCCTAGATGCCTATGACCCGCAACCCAGGCACCGTGGCAAGATTGGCCGAAGGACATTCAACAACTTGACTGAGGATCAGTGCGACCCTCCCTCCCAGCCAGACTGCGATTTTTCCCAACCCTCCTTGGTCGGGTATTCGTTTTGAATAGAGCACTGCGGTCTCCACGTATCCTTCTCTTTCTCCTCACGCCTCCCGCCTCCCGCCTCCCTTTTGTCTCCTCTCGCCTTGTGCGCACCTCTTGTGTATGCATCTTGCCTGCGGCGTCTGTCTCCGACCTCGCCGTCACTGGGGGGGGGGGCTGCGATCTGCGAAACTGTCGCCACGTTCGACGGCTGCTGGTGGGTCCAGCGGAGCGAAGCACCGCGCGGATCTGAGCGAGACCTCGCCGTCCCTGGGGGGCTGCGATCTGCGAAACTATCGCCACTGCGAGGGCTGCTGGTGGGTCCAGCGGAACGAGGCACCGCGCGGATCTGAGCGAAACCTCGCCGTCCCTGGGGGGCTGCGATCTGCGAAACTGTCGCCACTGCGAGGGCTTCTGGTGGGTCCAGCGGAGTGAGGCACATCGCGGATCTGAGCGAGACCTCGCCTTTCATTGGGGCTGCGATGTGCGAAACTGTCGCCACTTTCGAGGGCTGCTGGTGGGTCCACCGGAGCGAGGCACCGCGCGGATCTGAGCGACACCTCGCCGTCCCTGGGGGGCTGCGATCTGCGAAACTGCCACCACTTTCGAGGGCTGCTGGTGGGTCCAGCAGCGCGAGGCACCGCGCGGATCTGAGCGAGACCTCGCCGTCCTTGGGGGGGCTGCGATCTGCGAAACTGTCGCCACCTTCGAGGACTGCCGGTGGGTCCACCGGAACGAGGCACCTCGCGCAGATCTGAGCGAGACCTCGCCGTCCCTGGGGGGCTGCGATCTGCGATACTGCTGCCACTTTCGAGGACACGTCGCCGTCCCTAGGGGGCTGCGACCTGCGAAACTGTCGCCAGTTTCGAAGGCTGCTGGTGGGTCCAGCGGGGCGAGGCACCGCGCGGATCTGAGCGAGACCTCGCCGTCCCTGAAGGGACTGCGATCTGCGAAACTGTCGCCGCTTTCGAGGGCTGCTTGTGGGTCCAGCGGACCGAGTCACCGCGCGGATCTGAGCGACACCTCGCCGTCCCTGGGGGCTGCGATCTGCGAATCTGTCGCCGCTTTCGAGGGCTGCTGGTGGGTCCACCGGAGCGAGGCACCGCGCCGATCTGAGCGGGACCTCGCCGTCCCTGGGGGGCGGCGTGCCTCGCGAATGCCGCTCGCAGAACTATGTGCGCCCATGTCATGCCATCACTTCTGTATAACGTGTCCCAAGCTACTCGTGCCCCGCATTGCGCAGGGGTTGGGTGCGTCGCCCGGGCAATTTGCGAAGATGCACTTGCAGACGGCGAATGGGCCCTAGGCACGCGCCGCGGCCCCAATGGCGCGCCGCGCGCCCCAGACCGATCTGCGCAAGGTTAGCTTGGTCGGCCTAGACACGGGGTTGATCCCGGAAGGGGCGGCGCGGCAACAACGCCCAATGTGGGGGAATGCATTCACTAATTTAGCAGGGTGCCTCGGGCGGGGGAGCTGAATCAGAATGGCCTCGAGCCCAACTCGCGCGGACCAAGAGTCAGCGCCGAGGCCGGGGCGCCCTTGGACAACCGCCGCGCCCTGCCACCCTGGGATCCACATGAAGTCAATACTCCCACATGTCATGTTCCTGTCAACGGTTTGACTCAAATAGGAAAAAACGCCAGGAACATAAACAATCGGCGCTCTGCGCGGATTTCCTGGGCCCGCGCCAGACCCCCCTCCCCGGCTCGCGGGGCGCGCCAGGGGCGGCGCCGGAGGCGCCGCCAAGGGGGCCCCGGCGAGGATCCACGAAATCCGCGCGGAGCGCCGCAAGTTTATGCTTATGGGCTCTTGTTTGGTTCTTCTCAAAACTGGAGATCAGCGCGACCTCCCCTCCCAGCCAGACTTCCACTTCTCCTTGGTGCGAAGGCGCGCGCGCCGACGGCGACTGGGCCCCAGCGGGCGCGCGCCGCGGCCCCAGGAGCACGCCGCGCGCCCCAGGCCGATCTGCGCGATGCGTTCTCGCGGTCGGCCCAGACGAAGGGGGTTGGCCCCTGTGGGGGGCGGCGCGGCGGCAGCGCCCCACGATGAATAGCCGTTGCTCGGGCAGCTGCTGGGGCTCAGCTGCACAGTCCGACGCCGCGCTCGTGCGAGCGCGGCGCTCGCGCAAGCCTGGGAGGCAACGGGCGCGGACGCGGGGCCTGCTGGCCAGGCGTCGGAAGGAATTGGCGAACACTCGTGCCGCAGTCATCTGTCAATGCGCCCCCCCCCGTGATCAGCGTTGGCGGGGAGTGGCGCGAGCTGCGTTTCGACCGCAGCCCCCCCTGCGCGTGCCGACTCTGGGCTTGGGGGAGCGAGCGGGGAAGCGCCCGCTGACTGCTGCCCTCCGCCGCACGGAGGGGGCCCTGCGCCTCTCGCAGCAGCGCGCCCGGCGGCGGAGCTCCCGCCGCACGGGGCGCGCGCTGCCCCGCCCCGAAGCGACGAGTCTGCCCCCGGCCGCCTCCGCGGTGGAGGCGGCCCGCCGCCCTGCTGGGGACGCACGCGGGCCGCTGCGCGGCGGCCTCGAGCGGGGCGCGCGCGCTCGAGCTGCGTAGCAGCTCCGCCGCCCGCTGGCGGCAGTCGTCGGCCCTGGCCTCCATCGCTGCGATTCGGGTCTCTGGCGCGGCGCCTCGCTCCGCGCTCCGTGACATCACTCCCCCGCCGGGCAAGGGGCCCGACGAGGGGCAGGCCGATGCTCGCGGCGGCGAGCCTGCGCGAGCCCGAGATGCGGAACGAATGTCTGCCATGCCGGTTGCGGCCCCATCGTCCTTCAGCGGTTGGCCCAGCCGCGTCGCGATGGCCTCGACAGCGGCGACGACGCGCCGCTTCTCCGCCGCGACGCCGGCCCTGGCCTAGGGAGCGGCAACTCATCGGGCAGGTGACCGAAGATCTCTGCGGGCGCCTACAGCTGCTCGGCGACAGCGCGGCACGCGCGCGGCGCGTCGCGGGGCGCGCTGCCACGCGCGCGCCCCCAGGCGCGGAAGCAGCCGACGGGGGTCTCGGTCTTGCCCACTGGCAGATACTGGCAGCGCCACGATCACCTCCATCGCCACACTGTCCAGCGCGACCGAGCGCGCGAGGCAAAGGGGTGCTTCGACCTCGCGGGGAATGAAGAAGCAGGCGAACTCACAGAGACGGCCCGGCCTGACTGGGCTGCCGCGTGCCAGCGCATCGCTGCCGAGCTGGAGCTCGAACGAGTCGTCGAAATCGATCTCGGCATCTTGCTGCGGACCTCCTATGCCGCGCATCCCAGACCTGGGTGCGCGGCGGGCCCCGCGATCGAGGCAGTCGCTCCGCTCGAAGCCCTGGCCCGCGCGCGCGCCCTTCGCCGCGCTGGAGTAATTGGGCACCGCAGCGCGTCCGCGGCCCCCTGGCAGCACGCCGCCCCCAGCTTCTTCGCGGCGGCGGGGTGCGCGGGTAGTCCGTCGCCGAAGCGCCGCGCGCGAAAGAACTCCCAAGTCGCCGAGATGGCCGCCGTTGCCCGCCGCGCCCCGGCGGCGCAGGCTTCGCCGCGGCGGCCGCGCGGGCGGTCGCGGCCGCCGACGCCGCCAGGGCGCGGAGCGACCCCGCGATGACGGGCGCGCGCGTCCCCGAGGCAGCCAGAGTCAGCGAGGGGGGCAACGGCAGGGCCGCCGATCGGCGCGGCGTCCAGGACGACGAGCTGCCGGCGCCCGGCGGCCCCTGCTGGGGCGCAGCGGAACCGCGGCGGGGGCCCTGGGGGCGCTGCAGGCTCTGATTCTGCGCGCCCGCACGTGGCCGCCGCGCGATGGATGCACATTTGAAGCCTCTTGGATGCCCGCGCCCTCCCATCGCTCGGCTGAGTCGCCGCCCAGGGGGCGGGGGGGCGCTGCGCAGTCCCAGGGGGTCGCCCGCGAGGCGCGAGCCAAATCGGCCGCGGGCTGCTGCGCGGAAGAGAGCGTCTCGCACCGCCTGCCCGACGAGCGCAATGCCATCGCGACCGGGCAGGCGGGCTGCCCCGCGAGCGCGGCCGAAACTCCCGCGGGGGCGCCGCCCCAGGCTCGGGCCGCGTAGCGCCATGTTAATCATTATTTTTTGTGGGTGGATCCCCCAAGCCCTCCGCCGCCTCTGGCGGCGTGCGCTGCGAGCAGGGGCGCAGCAGAGCCATGGGAAAGCGCGGCGTCGACGGCGCAGCTCCGCGCGCGTGACAAATGTCAACGAGCAGGAACACAGCAGAGCCACACGAGAAAATGCATCCCACCACTTGGCTGACCTGCGCGATGCCATTGCGATCCGTGGCCGCGGGGCGACCCTGCGAGCGCGGCTTAACCTCCGGCGAAGGGCGCCGCCCTCGACTCGACCCCCTCGCCGCCCCGCCGGATCAGCGCGATGTCATCGCAAGCCGGCTCGCGTGCATCGCGCCACCCAACCGATTCGGATGACGTCGTCGCGATCGGCCAGGGGGCAGACGCGGGACGCGTTTTCCGGCCGCCGGAGGGCTGGAACCCCGAACGCGTTTCCCTGCCACCTGAAGACCGAGACGCGGGAAACGTCTTCCCGTTCACCCGCAGGCGGCTCTGCCCCGGGAGCGCGCCCGACAGCCCGCCCGCGACGGCGGGCAAGACGCTGGCCGAACGGCCCGACCAACGCGACGCCGTCATGATCGAGCCCGCGGGCCAAGGATTCCTGCGAGGCCCCACTGTGACTTAGGGCCCCGCGGCGGGGGGGGGGAGCAACGGCTCCCGCCGACCCCCCTTCGGAGGCACGAGGGGCCTCCAAGGGTCTCCGGAAATCCTCTGGAGGGGCTCAAGTGGGGCGCGCCCCCATCGGGCCTCTGCAGCGCGGCCCGATCAGCGCGATGCCATCGCGACCGAGCGCGCCGGCTGGAGGGCGGCGCGGCCCGTCTGAGAGCCCGCAAGCGCTCGCGGCGCATCCGGGCACGCAATGGGCCAGACCGCGGACGAGCAGCGCGCGGCGCTGCCGACGATGAGCCGCCGGCATCGCTGGACGCGCGGGCGAGACAGTTTCGAGCACGGTGAGGCATGCGACGCTGTACGCGGCCACCCAGTCCTCGAGCGTCGGCGGCCCAAGCAGCTCCATGGACTGGAACACGCCGTCGGCGCTCGAGAGGACGCCGCTGAATTCGAGCTTCTCGCGGGCCCGCAGCTGGCGCGGCCCGAAGAGCCACGTGCGGGGGCAAACCGGACCTCAGCAAGTGAACCACACCTGTCATTTGCTTTGCATCTGGCTCCTCCTCCTACTTCGTCGGCATGGCCCCCGCGCGCCTCCTCTGTTCGACGATACTCCGTGGAATTCCTCGTCCGTCAAGGAGGGCCCACCCCCCTGGAGAGCGCCGGGCCCACGACCAAGTCGAACCTGGCGGCATTGCCCTGGGGATCGCCGACAGCTGGGCGTGAAGCCTGGAGCTTGGAGCTGCTGCTGGAGCAGCTGAGGCCTGAGGCTGCTGGGCGATGCCGACGCGCGCGCCGCTGATAACCGCAGCGACGCGCCAGGCGTTGCGAAGTCGGCCATTGTTGGCGACCGAGGCTGTGACGGTCGTGTTAGCGTCGACGTTGACGGCGCATCCGTTCACCGCCGAATGGAAGTTCACCTCGTCGATGGCCGCCAAATCGCGCATTGGGTCGCCCAGCTGGACGCCCAGCACCTGCATGGCCGAGTCCTTCGATTCACCACTGGGTCAGCGAAGCTGGCCCTCACGAACTTGTCGTTGAGGTTGTTGAAAACCATGCGCTCCTGATCGGTCGGGCCCCTGGCGCAGTTCGCCAAAGGGGTCCTTCCCTCCGCAGCTGGGTCTGACGATGGCGGGCTCCACACGATCCAACCTGCAGCAGAGGGGGGAAGCTAAATCGGGGCAGGCTTGGGCCAACGTGGCTACGGACCATAGGTGTGTGCCGAAACCAGCCACTCTAAGGCAACTGCCCCGCCCTGCCACCTTGGTATCTCAATAACATTGTTGCTCGCAAGCGTCATGTTCTTGCATGCGGCTGTCAATATCCCAAGGTGGGAACCGAAGGGCCAATCGCCCGTCCGAAGGAGATCCGTAGGTAGCAGAAGGATGACAGCGATGAGAGAAGTTATCCCTCGATGCTGTCCAGTCATGTCAGACTGCGTATCTCCAGTGCCTGAGCCGAAAGGGGCGGCGGTAGAGAAGAGTAAGACTGGGAGAGGAAAACATCACACACACACATACACACATACACACACATACACACACATACACACACATACGCACATAAGCACAACACACACACACACCGTCTCCCGAGGTCCAGGAACATCGGTTTCCTAGGCAAGGGATGCTCTGCGTTTGGAAACGGGCACGCGGGGGCGGGGGGGGGCCACCCCCGCCGACAGCTCCGAATCGGCCCCCGCCGCGGGCAACAAAACCTGCCGCGCGACGTCGACCCCGGACAGCCCAGGCCACCCGCCGCAGGAGCCAGGCCCCGGGCCCACGGGCGCGCGGACAGGCTGACGTTGACCCCGTCGAGGGGGGGGTACCCACGCTCCTTTGGCGTCGCAGCGCGGCAGAGGTAGCCCGCACGCGCGCTTGGGGCAAGCTGGGTGACGGCATTGCGAGTTGTCCGGATGCAAGGGGGGAGGCGGGAGAAGAGAAGAGCGGCCGCGGGAGGAGGGGAAAGAACTACTGCGCTCAAGGGGGGCACCCACACGCTTACGTGTTGCCAAACGCAGGCTGTGGACAGCTCCCCGCCTCTGAGGGGCAACGATAAAGGGGGGACTGGCATAGGGGGGGGTCCTCGACCTGGAATCGGCGATACATCGCGGATAGATCGGCGATAGAGGCCCCCGATATCAACTCCGCACCTGTCTTGGCGGGGCGGGGCTATCATACCCCTATCGGCGATCAATGGGCGATTGGGGGCCGATGCATCCCCCCTGCTTGCCATCGCTCGGACGTCCATTCCCCGTGCATTTTTCGGCAGTGTGCGTGTCTTTTTCGCAGAATGCTCCAGGATGCTCCTCAATGATCCTCGCCGAGAATAATGCACACGTCCGGCCAAAAAACACAGAGCACCCAGGGATCCAAGGGCCCCCCCCCGCCGGATGCACACGAGCATCTCACGAGCACGAGGAACATCAGGGCACCCTCCCTGAGCCGACCTCGATCTTCGGGGGCGCGCAAACATGGATTAGCGATCCATGGGTTTGGCGCGCGGTCGCCAAAAATCCATGGATCGGGGGAGGTGCCCTCCCCGAAGAGCGGCCGGTGCCGCCTCGCTCGGCGGCGGAAATCCGCGATGCCCCATGGAAACGGGACCCGTCTCCAATCGACGCCCACTTGATCCATGCTTGCGGTCGCCTGAGATCTTCCACCTCGGCCCACGCCCCCCCCTGTGCCTACGGCAATTTCGTGCGGAGATGACATCGACGTTGGTTTCTGACACTTCGTCGATCGTTGAACCTTCAATCGATCCGGCCCCGATCGCTCAGAGTTGAATCCCGTCGGGTCCAGTGGCGTCACCGTGTCCCTTGGTGCTTCTGCGTCGCAGGAGTTCAACCTTGAACGCCTTTTCGCCTGTGTCGCCAGTGCGCCAGCGCCGCATGAACCCACCGTATCCCCGAGATCCGACGTCGTGATTTTTTCAATACGCATGGTCCCCGGAGGTCTCGACCCATTCCCCAAGACCGGTTGTTCATCCCGAGCCGTTTTTTGACGGCCCTGGGGCCCGGCGAGGGCCCCTATATAAGCTCGAAGCCGGCGGAAAACCCTCGTCTTGACTTTTGTCAAGACGTTGGATCCCTGGGTTTCCCCCCTCCCCCTCGTTCGTACCCCGAGCCTCCCCGGCCGCCCCGGGCTCGGCACCACCGGCCGCCCCGCCGACGTCGGCGGCCGCCGCCGCCCCGGACCGCCGGCGCGCGGCGGGCGCGGCGGTGCCCGAGGGCGGCGCGCGCTTCTTGGAGCCCGCGGCCGGCGGCGGCGGCTCCCCCGCCGCGGCTGCCGCCCCGGGCGTCGCCTTCTCGGCGGCACGCGGCCCTATACCCCGAGATCCAACGCACTGCAAAAATCTGGACACGGGTTTCTCGCAATTGTCGGCCTCAAGGGGCCCTCGCTGGGCCCCTGGACCGTCAGAGAACGACTCAGGATGAAAGACCGGTCCTGGGGAATGGGTCGAGGCCTCCAGGAACCCCGTATGGAAAAATCACGACGTCGGATCTCTGGGTACCCCGTCGGGGCGGACTGGAGAGGACACACGAGAGGACACAAGACCCTTCCGAAGGCCACACCGCAAGATAGGCACTGGGTAGGGAAGCGCAGAAGATGTTCATGTAACGAACGAATGTACGAAAAACAAGAAGAACGCTCTTAAAGCATACAGCCGATTGTAAAACAAACAAGACCGTCTCAGCCAGAAGTGCTCGAATAGCATATCTCGTGCAAGCCACAAAAGGCTATTACAGAATTCTTTGGTGGGGGCCGATAAGCAAGTCAGAACGCGTCGCCGCTATTGCCCTGGACTTACGTTGTTCCCTTTGTACTTCAAGACCAGATTCCCAAAATTAACTTCGAGCACCCGGAGAAGTATCGAAACAGTGTCTGCCCGACACGCTGGCGAAGTGTCGAGCGAGTACCACCGCTCAGGGCCCAACACGCGAAAACCCTCCAGTCTCGATTCGCTGTCTTGTTGCTCGAAATCCTTTCTGGTGACGAATTCAGGCTAAATAGGCTGGAACATCTTCACCCAGCTGCCCAGACATCCGGCTGCTCTATTTTTTTCGATGCGTGAGCCCTGGAGGTCTGGACCACTTCCCCAGGGCCGGTTTTTCGTCCTGAATCGTTTTTTAACGCTCTCGAAGCCCGGCGAGGGCCCCCAGAGGCCGAAAACGGCCAACGAACCGCCCGCTCCGACTTTTCTGGAGCGTCGGATTTCTGGGATCGAGGCCACAAAATAGAGGTTGGAACATCCGCCGCCAGCGCTGGCGCAGGCCCGGGAGGGGGAGGGGCGGGGTTCGAACCCTCCTGTCCCCCTGGAAGGGGGAGGGGGGGGCGTCGACCCGCCCCCCCCCTCCACCCCCTGGAACCGGGGGTGGGAGGGTGGGGAGCGGTTCCGGACCCCCCCCCTCCTTAAGCGCCCACAGAACTCACTCTTCCGCACACCTCCAGCCTGGGCGCCTCCCAGCCGGCGCAGGCCCGCTGGCGCAGGCCCGCCGGGGGGGGAGGGGGGGACGTTCGAACCTCCCCCCCCCTGAACCATGGGTGGGTGCGGGGGTGGGGCCGGTTCCGGACTCCCCACCCAGCCCAGACATCCGACGTCTCGATCTGTTCGAGACTCGGGCCCCCGACCTCCCGCCGAGCACTCCACCGGGACCGGTGTTTCATCCCGCGTAGTTTTTTGACGGTCCCGAGGCCCGGCGGTGGCCTGGAGAGGCCGACCACGACGAGAAACCTCCGCCTCGACTTTTTCGAGACGCCCGATGTCCCCAGAGATCCGACGTCGTGATTTTTTCAATGCGCGGTCCCTGGAAGTCTCGACCCTTTCCCCAGGACCGGTTTTTCATCCTGAGTCATTTTTTGGCGGTCCCGAGGCCCGGCGAGGGCCCCTAGGGGCCGAAATTCGAGGAAAACCTCCGTCTTGATTTTTTCAATGCGTGGGATCTCTGGGTCTGGGAGGCGCCCACGGCGCCGCTCTTTCGAACACCTCGGCCCCAGGCGCCTCGTCCTCCCCCGCCGCCGCTGCCGCCTCGGCGCCGGCGGCGGGCGGCTGCCCGCCAGCGGCCGGGGCTCCGGCGTCCGAGGGCACGGCGTCGCTGGGGGCCGCTGCAGACGTCGGCGATGGCGGCTGCCCCGCCGCTTCTTCCTCGGCGGCGCGGAGAGGGGGGGGTCCAAGGAGGAAGAGGAGGAGGAGGAGGAGGAGGAGGAGGGAGGAGGAGGAGGAGGAGGAGGAGGAGGAGGAGGAGGAGGAGGATGAATAGGACGGTTTTTTTGGGGGAGGGGGTCTTCCAGAGAGGGCGCGAAGCCCCTGGGGGACCCCTCCTGAAAAAACCCTCGCCCCCAACCCCCTTCGGAACCCTCCGGGCCAAGAGGGGGAGAAGGGGCGCTGAGAAGGGGGAGCTGGGCAGGGGCCAGCCGTCAGCCTGTAGGCCTACCACGACACGTTCTTAGAGCCCCCAAAGGGCTCCAAGAACAAAGACGTAGTGCTCTTATAACATAAGCCCGATGCGCTAAAACAGGACCGTCTCAGCCTGAAATGTTCTGAGAACGTGTCGTGCAAACCACAGCAGGTTCGTGGAACATGCTGTGGTGGCCTATAGGCAAACCAGGACGTTTCGCTACTGTTTGGGGGAGGGGGAACGCTCAAGCCAGGTGCGCTAGCGTCACATCTGACGTCCTTTTCCTCACCCCCGTCCCTGACCAGCACTCCCGGCAAACACTTGTGGAACCGATTTCGCAGGGAAGACAACGACAGCATTAACCAATCTTCAAGGGGAACCACCCCTTGAAAATAACAAAGACATCTCGGCTATACCAGTAACCCTCCGCCTACGACAGTTTGACAACGAGCGAAGATTGAAAGCCTAACTGCACGGTGCATTTTGACAAACACGTCAAAACAATGAACAGACCGGAAGGTATACGTCGACAAAACGTAAGCCAGAAAACGTCAGCTGTGTGAAAACATCAACATGAATGCGCGATGCATGGGCAACACATTCAAACAATAAAGAGAACGTGATATGGAAACCATGAATTCGCGTTCAGATCCAGTCTGTTTGAGTTTCAACGCGTGCGCATATATGGTTTCAAACACGCTCCTTTCTAACGTATTTCTGCGTGTTCGAATGGCCATCGCGCGACTTGAAATTACGTCGCACCCCGCAATTGCGGATAAGAGTGAGGGGGCGGGCGCGGGCGACGCGAGCGTCGAGCCGGCGGACCTCGTGGCCCTCACCTTCCCTGTTGATGGCGCCCTCCTCCTCCTCCGCCTCCTCCTCCTGCTCCTCCTCCTCCTCCTCTTCCTCGTCCGCGTCCTCGTCCTCGTCGTCGATCCTTTCCCCTCCTCCGTTCCTTTTTTTGTTGGCAGCAACGCCACGGCCTCTGTGCACAGTATCTGCTCGACCAGCCCAGAGGCGCAACTGGTACGGCACTGAACCTGTACCTGACAGCGGGATGAATTCGTCGATATCGACATAAACACCCTTCTTATCAGGATGCAGGCCTTTACGGAGCTTACGCATGTTCTTAATGCCAGACTCCGTAGGAGGGGCGCACTTACGCCCGAGGCCTAACACAACTCCACCGCTGCTATAAAACTTGCACGACATGCAAAGGAACAGGTTATAATTATCAGTGCATGGGAACGCAATCGCACGATGCCCGAGACGCTCCAGAACACACCTGTCGAGCCTGCTGCGGCCCGCACACTCCGATCCGCCACTCGGCTTGGATAACGCTCTGGAGCCTCGCAAACAAACGCGGCACCTCCAAAAACTTCCTTGGCGTTCCCAATCGTGCTCAAGCACGAGCTGAAGAGGACGCCGTGGCTTCGGCGGCTGGACTCGCTCTAAGCCACGGAACTCGACTTTTGGCCAGAGGGGGGGCAACGCTGCTCCGCCCAAGAAAAAACTGCCCTCGCAATCTTTAAAGTGCGACTTAAATCTTCAGCCTCCGTCGGCGTCATAGTCGGATGGCGCTTCGCACCGTCCTTCGCCGCATCGTCGGCATACGCATTTCCCAACCTCCGAAAGCGCTCCTCCGCCGACAAACCCTCCTCCTCCACATCTTTGTGGGCAGCCACTTTGTGGAAGCCCTCGCAGAAGCGGCCAAAATGGTGGCGCGCTTGTCTGACGAAGCCAGCATACTGACGGGCTGGGCCTTCGCCGCCAAGATTCTGCAGCAGCACCACATTAGCACAACCTGAATAACACTGAGCCGGGCCCTCCGTGTACAACGCAGTCCAGGCAAGGGCACCAAATTCGGCTCCCTGGGGGGTCTGAGGCCACGGAGCCCAGAGGGGGCCTTTGATAACCCCAAGCTTCTCCCCCGACCCCGAGACCATAACAACAGACCGCCCCGCCCTGGACAACTCCCTAACCGGATGCCTAGTGCAGGACCCATCCATGAGAATGTGCCCCCAGACGCCGTCCCTGGGAACAACGGAGGGGGGCGAGCCTGGCCTGGCAGGATCAGGGAGCAGGTCCACATACCAGTCGACTGTGACACCGTAGGGCGAGATTGCAGGCTTAGGAGCCCAGTCCCCAGGATGTCTGAACGCACGATGAAGCCACAGAGCTTTTCTCTCGGGGTCGCTCTCTGGCACCTCAAGCGCCGCTTCCTGGATCCACTTCGGCATGTGTTCGCCCCGCTCGGCCTGCGCGCACGGGCACGCCCAGAGGCGGTGAAACAGGGTGTCCTTGGCGCCGCAGCCCAGCGGGCACAAGCTGGAGATGGGATAGCCTAAGTCAGCGGCATCGCCTGCAGTCCAGCAGGCATTGGTGGCAAGAGCGCGGATCATACCCTTCTGCACCCCGGGGATTTTCTTGGGAACTAAAAGCCTCTTCGGGACGTCCCAACAGAAACGGAAACCAGCCTGAAACTTGTCCCCCGAATCCCGCTCGAGGCTCCGAAACACCGCCTCCTTGCAAAAAAAGCTTCACCAGTTTAGGCGGCGACAACGTGAGAGAAATCTCTCGACCGAAATCGTCCACGAGGGTGGTGAAATTGGGCATGGACCACCCAAGCCTGTACAGCGACATTCGCAGCCCTGAGATAGGCCCCGAAACTTTGGCCCAGGACCAGTCGTCTTTTTCGAAAACCGAACTCCAACCAGTCCGAAGCTCGGCCCAACTCAGGGCCCATTCAAAGGCCCTCGTCTGTCGGATCCACACCTCCTTGGCCCAGCGGATAATGGGGGCGCAGCTGGCCCTCCACGTGGGGCCCCCCTCTAAAAGACTCAAAACCGAAAGGGGCCTACCCTGGGCAGAAGGTTTCACGCATGACATGGCCATGCGTCGAAGCGGCAACAGCTCGCGGTCAGAGACCCCATACAAGTCCGATCCGTAGACAGCCCCAGCTAAGGGCCCAGAGGCGAAAACTTTGACCACCTTGCGACCCAGTGTGGGGCCAACTTCCCGAGACGACGAGCTTTCCTGAGGGTCGCTGCCGCCCTCTGCTTAACTTTGGCACTCCTGTTCTTTCCAGGAGCTCTGACCGCTCTGCCAGCCGTGTAATCCACACCTAAGTTGGTCATCCGAGTGCAAGCTGGATCGCCGACTAAGTCCCCGAGCTCAGCCGAGAGCGCAGCCGAAATGTGTTTACTGCTGGAGACCATGCCAACCTTATCCATAGCCAGCTTGCACTTGAGCGTCGGCGTGATCACCGAGTGCAGAGCTCTAGCACCTGAAACCAGATGCTTCAAAACGAAACTGGGCTTGCCAGTCGCGCTGAGGCTCAAATCATCTACGTAAACATCAAAATCGGGTCCCCTCGGGATGGGGCCGAAAGCTCCAGGGCGAACACCCGAATAAGGCCCGTCGCGAAGGTACAACCCGCGACGATCCCTCTCAGGGCAAAAGAGGGGCCGTCGACAATTCCCCCCAAAGTCATGAACCTCGCGCAGGAGTAGGCGTGAATCGCGAGGCGCGCGATGCCCAAGGGGAACTGATGCTGCTTACACTTGGCCCAGTGAAAGCCGAGGTCGATATGTTCGTAGTACTTGCGCAAGCCCCAAAAAATCGAGGCACTGACCTGACCTCTGACCGTCCCCGACCCCGCTCTGAAAGCCTGCCTCCAGACCACGTTCCCCGCCCCGCGGTGGGCCCCCGCCGCCCAGTAAGGGCGGCTGTGCTGGATCTCCCAACGAAGAGCTTCAAAGCGGCGGCACCTGCCCCAGACCCGGTACCAGCTCGGAAAAATCCCAATGGGTCGGAAGCCTCCACAAGGCTTGGCCAACAAAGCGACCAGCACCCAAGAGAGCTGGACAGGCAGGGACCCCGTGGCCTCCATGACCGAGAACCACAGAGACAGGGCCATCAGAGCCTCGTCAGGGAGCAGGCTGAAATGACGGCAGTGGAAGCCGTCCAAGCTGACAGCAGAGGCAGGCCGATATTTCTTGGACATGGCCCTGACGATGTCGGGCTCGAGAGGGGGGGGGGGGGGCATGGCAACAACTCCTTACCGCAAAGACCCTCCCCCCAGATAGAAAAAACTTGGCCGATTCAGCCTTGAGCAAGCTCATGGGATCTGACACCGCAATGCCCGAGCGAGAGAGAGTGGTGGTGGGAGCCCAGGCCACAGGGTCCCGAATAGCCCTCTGCGCATTACGCGACCCTTTCTCGAGCCCTTGACGCACCCATTCGTACCAAGCCTTCCGAGAGGACTTGGCCGCGGATGCCTTAGCAGTGACACAAGCTTCAGAAACTTCGCAGATGTGCCGATCGAGGTCGGCGGCCACCTCGGGATCGTCCACCGAGCGCAGCAGACTACGCGCTAAGCCAGCGGCAGTGCGAAAAAGAGGCGCGTAGTCTGGGTTCTCTGCCACCGCCGCCGTCGTCGGCGGCTCCGCGAGCGCCGCCAGCACCTGACGACCTCCATCTAGAAGGCCCTCAGGGCTCAAGTAGCACCTGGAAGCACGAAGTTGGCTGCTCAACCACAGCACCGACCTGAGGGTGGGATCAGGCTCACGGCCCCCTTTTTTCAGGATGCTCTTCCAATGCATCTGCGGCCGCTTACCCCTGGCTCCCTTGGGAACCTTCACCCCCATGATGGCGCTGAGGTCCCGCTCGGCCGAGTTGGCCCACGCGCGGTATCCAGGGGCCAGCATAGCACGAGCACGATCACCTTCGCCCTCTTGCACCGCCCGAAAAGCCTCGCGCGCCAGCCCAAGGGGGACTTCCCACGACCCAGGCTCAGGCTGCGGGCCAACCGGTGGCACCACAAGAAGGTCGCGCGGGCGTCGGAAGGCGAGAGCCTTGAGATCACCAACAGATGCGTGGAAACGCAGAGACACAGGTCTATGAGGGTGGATGGGCGAGCCCCCCTGCACATCGATCTGCTTGGGACCGAGGGAGAGGGCGTGCGACACAACGAAAAAATCAAAACGTTCGGGGGTGCCGACACTGGGGAAGTGAGCGCGCCCTTGGGAACTGACAATCACCCCATTAGCCTTAGCATGGAAGCCAGACGCAGCCAAAGTCTCGGGGGGGAAATTCCAGTCAGCCCCAATGATGAACTCGCACTCTAACCCCCCGATAAATTCCCACACTGACTTTAAGTTGGACAAATTGGCCTCTGACAGACCTTCGCTGTGGCGGAGGTAGAGGGAGAAGACGCAGAAGGTGGCGCACCCTGGCACGTGCACCATGGCTGCTATCGCGCGGCCCTCGGCCAGCACGATCTTGTCCTGGTGCTCGAACATGCCAAGCGCGTCACGCACAAAGACGCCGACCCCAGGGGGGGTGCCACCGCCCTCGCCAACAATACCTGGAGCCCAGAGCGACTTCCAACCCAAAAACTTGGCCCCTTTCGAGGCCGTTGCAATATCGTCGTCACCTCGTAGGCGATGCTCCTGCGCGATAACGATATGCGATACACTGCTCGTAAGGTAGTTCTTCAAAGTGCCCCAGCAGTTGGCGTTCACGGTGGACACCAGCAGGCCTTCGTCGAGCCCGCAACTCTGTGGTCTGGCTGGACCAGACGTCGCTGGAGGCGCAGGGGCGGGGGCTGACCAGTCCATGGCCCCTCCCCGACTGGAGGCCCTGACCGTACTTGCTCCAGCAAAAAGATCGGATTGCGGCAAGCGTGCGACCGCATCTGCGGCTGCGGGACCATCGCTCAACTTCTGATCTGCCAGACCAGGGAGAGGAGAAGGACGAGGATCAGGGATTTCATGGTCACCTGGGGGCACAGGATGAGGGCCCCAAGGAACAATCGGAGCAGGAAAAAACTCGGAGACGCCTTGAGACATCAAGTGAAGCTTGCGCGCCAAACGCAAGTCTGACTTCTGTACTGAAGGCCAATAGAGGAGACTCGATCTGCCAAAAAGTTGAAACAAATGACGCGAGTCACCCGAGCTCGGAGTGCCAAGAGGCACTCCACTAGGCCGGCCCCCCCTCTGACGAGGGGAGGGGGGGGGGGGGGACCTGGCAGATGCTGGTCAACCCGAGCTCGGATGTCAGTGGCTGCGGCAGCGGCGGCAGGCCTCGCAGCAGGCTGAGACGCGGCGCCTGGCTCAGAAGGCGCAGCAGCTTCGCCCCCACCTGCAGCGGCACCGCGACCTGCACCGTCAGCGTCCTGATCAGGAAGTCCCTCGCCATCGTCTCCTTTACGCCGTTTGCGCTGAAGCCGTGATTTGTGAGCCAGATGGACTGCCTTGACCTCCGCAGCCGTAGAGGTGAGCTGCTCGAACAATGACTTGGACAAGTCCTGCACGCCTGTCTGCAACTTCTCCAGCCGAGTCTGATACTCCTTGCGATCACCATCGGTGACATCGTACTCGCTGCTCTCGAACTCCTCCATGATGTCAAACTTGAGGATGCTCGTGAGATCGAACTTGCCCTCCATGATGTCCCGCAGCGGGATGGCTGGGGTGCTGCACGGTCCCGAAGCCGCGACAGCGCCCGTCGCACCTGCGCCGCTGCTGTCGCGAAGCCGTTCCACAGCCGCTTTGTACTCCTCATCAGCCTTGCCGAGTTGGTCCCGCGACTGGCGCACCTGCTCCTCCAGCTCTGCAGTCTCCTGCTTCCACTTGAGCAAACGAGTGAGCTGGCTCTCGAGCTGCTTCTCCAGGCGACGAACTGCGGCATGCTGCTGTTGAACCTGCTGGTGTACGTTGATCTCCGCGGGCTTGCTGGCGGCCTCCAGGCTGGCCGCCACGTCGGCATAGTACTTACCCCTCGTAGCATCCCCCGCCTTGTACGACAGGGGGGCCATCTGCTTAGCTTCATCGACGGACAGAGCAGGAACGGGTCCAGCGGGGAGCGGCGGGGCACCCCCTCCCATCCCAGCGGGCTGCAGCTGACCTCCTGGGGTTGAGCCATGCCAGTCGAACCGAGATGTATCATTGAAACTCTTGCCTTTGCCTTTGCCGAAGCCTTTACCTCCAAGCCCTCCTTTGCTCCCCGAGGCAGCGCCAAACCACCCAGGCGGTCTCGACCAGTCAGACTGAGCAGGAGGGCCAGAGCGATCAGGAGTAACTGGAACCTGAGGAAGAGGCCATGACAATTTTTGCACCACTTCGCCGAGGGAGCGTTCTTGCGACAGCCACACCCTGGGCACTTGGTGGGCGACTTGTTCTTGTTGTACCACTTACCGCCGCCTTTGACCTGCCCCTCCCCCTCCCCGCCGTCACCCTCAGATGCTTGCACTCACGGGTTATAACTGAAGCGAGAAGAAGAAGGAGCCATCGAAGATGTGGGCAGTAAAAGTGGCAATACGATAGCCTGAACGTGATGTGAAAGATGCCTGGCGGGCGAACGCCAGGGAAAGCTGTCGGGGGCCGCGCGATCCCCCCCGTCAACGTCGTCCTCCTCCTCCTCCTCCTCCTCCTCCTCCTCCTCCTCCTCCTCCTCCCCCTCCTCCTCACTCCTTTCTCGTCGTCCCCTTCCGTCCCCCCCTCCTTTTCCTCCTCGCCCTCGTCGTTGGCCTCCTCTTCGTCCTCGTACTCGTCGTCGTCGTCGTCATCGTCTTCCTCCTCCTGCTCCTCGCCCTGCTCCTCCTCCCCTCCACCTGAAACGAATGCAAAAGAAACCCGCCGCAGGCGCCGAATTTTTGGCTTGTTCAGTGAACGTAGTTTGGGTCGCGGGTGGGTCGCGGGCTCTCCACCTCCACCTGGAAGGAATTCAAAAACAGCCCGCCGTAGGCGCCGAAAATTTTAACTTGTACACTGAACGCGGTTTGGGTCGCAGGTTCTCCACCTGGAATAAATGCACAAGAAACCCGCCGCAGGCGCTGAATTTTTGGCTTGTTCAGTGAACGTAGCTTGGGTCGCGGGTGGGTCGCGGGCTCTCCACCTCCACCTGGAAGGAATTACAAAACAGCACGCCGCAGGCGCCGAAAATGTGGGTCGCAGGTTCTCCACTTGGAACGAATGCCAAAGAAACCCGCCGCAGGCGTTTGGGTGGGTCGCGGGGTGAGTCGCGGGGGGGTCGCGGGTGGGTCGCGGTGGGTCGCGGGTGGGTCGCGGGGTGGGTCGCGGGTAGGTCGCCGGTGGGTCGCGGGTGGGTCGCCGGGGGGGTCTCGGGGTGGGTCGCGGGCGGGTCGCGGGTTGGGTCGCAGGTGGGTCGCGTGTGGGTCGCGGGTGGGTCGCGGGGTGGGTCGCGGGGTGGGTCGCGGGGTGGGTCGCGGGTGGGTCGCGGGTGGGTCGCGGGGTGGGTCGCGGGTGGGTCACGGGTGGGTCGCGGGTGGGACGACGACAACAACAAACAACAAACAACAAACAACAAGCAAAATACAAAAAACAACAAAAACCAACAACAACAACAACAACAACAACAACAACAACAACAACAACAAGAACAAGAACAAGAACAAGAACAACAACAACAACCACAACAACAACAACAACAACAACACCAACAACAACAATAACAATAACAGCAGCAGCAGCAACAGCAACAACAATAATTTTAAGACTGTTCGCCCTTATATGCTCGAGTGTCTAATCAGAGTGGGGGGGCTGAACCGAACGGTCATTCACTGTCCCTGGATGCGTGGCTGAAGTGGAATTCCGCGATGCGGATTCGTGTTGTTGTTAATGTTGTTGTACTTCGTGCCCGTTGTGGCCCTGCTGTCGTTCCCTCTCGCTCTCGCTTTCGCTCGTCGTCGCCGTCGTCGTCGTCGCCGTCGTCTTCGACTTCGTCGTCGTCGTCGTCGTCGTCGTGGTCGGTCCCCTGTCCGTCCCTCTTGGGGTCGGGTCGACGGTCCGCGGCCGCCCCGCCGATCAGCGCTGCCGCTGGCCAGGCCGACGGTCCGCGGCCGCCCCGCCGCTTGCCGGGGCCCGGCCTGCAGGGAAGAAAGGTATACCCCCAAAAGGGGTTCGATCGAAGACGAAGAGGGCGGGTATCGAGGGTTTGGGAAATTCGCGTCTCTTCGTTTTCGATCGAACCCCTTTTGGGGGTCATACCTTTCTTCCCTGCAGGCCGGGCCCCGGCAAGCGGCGGGGCGGCCGCGGACCGTCGGCCTGGCCAGCGGCAGCGCTGATCGGCGGGGCGGCCGCGGACCGTCGACCCGACCCAAAGAGGGACGGACAGGGGACCGACCACGACGACGACGACGACGACGACGACGAAGTCGAAGACGACGGCGACGACGGCGGCGACGAGCGAAAGCGAGAGCGAGAGAGAACGACAGCAGGGCCACAAAGGGCACGAAGTACAACAACAACAACAACAACAACAACAACAACAACAATCATTTTACCCGAACGCTCAGTGTTCTCACCAGTGCCAGGGTTTTCATGCGACGCGAGACAATACCCCCACTTCGTGGGGGGGCAGTTCAAGCTCTACCAAATATCCAAACGACTCTTCGCGACCACCCAAACCCAGCTTCCCGTCCTATGACGTTGGGACACTTCACTTCGTGGCGTGCGGACGACCGTGGCTACTACACTGGCGTGGGGTACACACCCACAGAACTTGGTCACTTATTCGGGGCGCGCGTGTGCCCAGCATCCTGCAATTGTGACATACAATACATGACACAGACAGACAGAGAGAGAGACAGAGAGCAGACAGAGAGAGAGACAGAGAGAGCGGAGTTGGTCACATTTTTGGGGCAAGTTCCTGAGATCGTCGTGTTTTTTGTTGGTCTTGCGCGCGCGAATGTCCACTTTACTTTTTTTTGCAAGGGAGTATTGAAATTTGATTATGTTAGAACAAGAAAAAGTAGCTCGCGCGAGCTCATGTAACATAAATGTTGAAAAACCATTGGTTTTGTGGGAGTCGGACAGCGCGCGCGGGATGAAATTTGGACATTTTTTTTTGAAAAACCATTGGGTTTTTGATGTTTTTATGTTGAAATCGTTACGAAACCTAAGGTTCTGGAAGGATTTCGTCTTGCGCGCGCGAATGTCCACTTTACCTTATTTTTTGCAAGGGATTATTGAAATTTGATTATGTTAGAACAAGAAAAAGTAGCTCGCGCGAGCTCATGTAACATAAATGTTGAAAAACCATTGGTTTTGTGGGATTCGGACAGCGCGCGCGGAAGGACATTTTGACAATTTTTTCTTAAAAAACCATTGGGTTTTTGATGTTTTTATGTTAAAATCGTTACGAAACCTAAGGTTTTGGAAGGATTTCGTCTTGCGCGCACGAATGTCCACTTTACCTTATTTTTTGCAAGGGATTCTTGCAATTTGATCAAGTAAGAACAAGAATTTTCATTTTCTATTGTTTTTTGCAAGGGAAAACGAGCGTCAACAAAAAACCGGATCCGGAGCTCATCCACTTTTCTGAAGCTTTCGCGAAAAAATGATGAAAATGTAGCTGCGGCCTAGGCGCGGCGCAGAGGTCGCGCACCAGGGGTCCCAACAATAATAATTCTTTAGAAGGAATAATGTTCAACAACAACAACAACACGAATCCGCATCGCGGAATTCCACTTCAGCCACGCACCCAGGGACAGTGAATGACCGTTCGGTTCAGCCCCCTCACTCTGATAATGTATGCCTTCACTCGATGCGGCTCTGGCTCGGGTCTCAAAACTTACGCTGGTTTACGCGGTTTCGCTCGACACAGAGGCCAATGAAACTCAAAACACACCCTGCAATTGCGAAACTCAAATCAAGCAATTCGCACAGAAACTCCCGAAGGCACTGCGGGCCTCGAGAGAGGCCAGGGGAGGTCCACATGCCCGTTCAGGGGGCCACGACCCACAACAGAAACCCGTCCTGAGGGGTTCGACGGCGCGCCCAGCGTCGTTGTGCAAACGCCGCGCAAAATTTGACAACGCTGGGCTGCCCTGAAGGGTTGAACGGTGCCCGCCAACAAAAATCGACAACGAAATCTTGGATCCGACGGTCAACCTAGCCCCGCAGCGACTGCCAAGACTGATCCATTACCATGGCGTAGATCTCCTATCTATTCGCACAGTCGGGTGTCGAGCAGGGAAATGATCCCAAAAGGGTACGCGATGGTTGGAAAAGCACGCTGGAATGATTACGTAGCACCCAGCAGTTGCGGATAGGAGTGAGGGGGGGGGGCGGGGACGTCGGCAGTCTGCGAGGCTCTGAAGACACCCGCCGCGGGCGCCTATGTTATCTACATGATACTCGAAATCTTCGCCGCAGACGAGGATTTTTTCATTCAAGCAATGTGGGTGCGTCACGGGGTGGGTCGCGGGCCTGCTCGCGGTGGCGGGAACGCTGGAATGATTATGAGCCCATCTTCATCGCCTTCCATGGATCGGATGGAAAAAAAGAAGATTCCAGATGAGAAGATCCCCAATGTTTGTAATGCTTTCCCCTTTGCAAGCCCTTTCATGGAACAAGGCCTCTTAGAAAGAGGCTGACTCTTAGAAGGCGTCGGGCTTACACATATAGAGCAGGCCCGCGCCTTCTAGAAAACAGGGCTGCTTCTAAGAAGCAATTCCCTCTTCCCCCCTACCCCCCTCTGCGCGTGGCCGGACTCCTCTTCTCGGCCACACGCAGGAGCGTGACCCTTAGGGCAAGAGTGGCATCTGGTGCGCCCGCGGAGGATTCAGTCAGAGCGCGCAAGCCGCTGCCATCGCAGCCCCTTCGGCCATCAAGGGGCCCCAGTGCTGAGGGGCAGCGATAGGGCTTAGGAGGGGACCGGCATAGGGGGGGATGCAGCGGCCTGGAATCGGCGACGCGTCGCCGACTCATCGGCGATAAGCCCCTGGTGGTGAATCCGCACCTCCCTGGGCGGGGTGGGGCCATCGGGCACCCATCGGCGACCCATGGGCGATTGGGGATCGATGCACCCCCCTTATGTCTCTCCCCCCCCCCCCTATCGCTGCCCCAGACCAGTGCGCCCGCACGGAGGACCACTCCGGCGAGAGCTCAACTCTTGCGCGCACAGCTTGAGCAGGGACCGACCGTCTCGGCATTCCTATAGTCCTACCACGAAAGGTTCTTAGAACCCCAAAAATGTTCTAAGCACAAAAACAGTGTTCTTAGATCATAAACCGATGTGTTAAAACGATACATTTTCAGCCAACATTGTCCTAAGAACAGTTCGTGCAGAGCTCAAAAGGTTCGTAGAAGATTGCCAGGACGCTTCGCCACTGCTTAAACAGCCGAGCTTCGGCCGTGGCCGCCTCGCCGGCGGGTGCCGCGGCCGCGGGCCGCTTGCGAGCCGCGGCGGGCCGCGGCGGCGGCTCCCGCGGGGCCGCGGCTGCGCCCGCTCCTGGCAGCAGGGCGGCCAGATCTGCCGGCAGCACTCCTGTGGTTGTGGACGCCATGACAGTGGACACTCGAACAATCCAACCATTGAGTTTAAGATGCGTTTAGAATGTATCAAAGATGATCTAAACATGTTTCAAACATGTTTTTACATATTTAAGATATGTTTGAAACATGTTTTAGACATCTGGGCATTATTTGGCAGCATGCTTCCTCTCCATTAATCGACTTCCGCAATCCTATGGAGGGAAGAAGATAGGGAGCCCAGAAAGGACGCACGCGCCCAACCATGTTCATGAACACGGCCCCTCGATCAGCGAGACCAGCCGCGTGATGCGAGCATTCGCGCAATACGCACTCTCGAGACCCATGCGGACTCGTCTGCGTGTACGTCCTTCTTTCGCTCCTGAGGAGAAGCGCCCTCATGAGAAGCACCCCGACCAGAGACGCTAGTTTCGCAAGCACGCCCAAGGAAGGAATCGGACAAGGCAGGGCTGTTCAGCAAACGCCCGGGGCTGCTTCAGTAGATGCCCTGGGTGGTGGGGATCGGGCCGGTTTCTCCCCACTCGAACTCCAGCAGCGCGCCTCACCTGGAAGGCTCCGAAAGGAATCCAGGCAGGGGTGGGACCGACCCCCCTGCGCTCCCCCCCTCCTCCCGGGGGCTGGAAGCGGGGATCCACCGCAGAGAGGAGCCTGCCCAAACACCCCCTCCGCCCCGACCCCCCGCTGGTTCCCTCCGGCTCACGAGCTCCGCCTCCGCTGGCCCTGCGGACAGGCAGCTCTCCTGGCACGCGCAGCTCAGCAGCTCGCGCAGCTCGGGCACCTGGCAGGATCAGCCACAGCATCGAATCGGGACATCGGATCGGATCGGAGTGGTCGTCTGCGCGGACGTCGGAGTCGAATCGGGCCGGCCGCGCCAGGACGCACGACAGCGCCATGCAGGCGTTGGGCCGAATCGGATCGGAGGAAGATCGAGATGGAATCGGACCGACATGGCCGAGACCGATGTCGAATCGGATCGAGCGGATCGGAATTTACCCCGCATGGTCCCCCGTTCTACGTCTGCTACCTTCCGCAGCCCTTCCGCCGAGGAAGAGGTGACAACTCAGTCGGTCCTCTAAGACGAGGCCCTCTGTGGAACGCCCAGCCCGGTCGACGAGAGGACACGGGTGTCTCACGCACGCCGGCATGGCGACCCCTTGCGCCCTGGCACCCCGCCTGGAGAAGAGGGCGGCCACGCGCGACCCTGCGCGGGCAGCCTGCGCGCGGATGTCGGCGCAGTTGGACCCGACCCGCTTTTCGGCGCTGCGCACCTGGTCGTGCACCCCGAGCGCGCCCGCGGCCGCTGCCAGCTGCAGGGCGTCGCTGCAGGGCATCGGGGCGGCCGCGCCGCCAGAGGGCTCGCCCGCGTAGAGGCGGTGCGCCAGCAGCTCGAACTCGGCCGCGGAGCAGGGGAGGCTCTCGTCCGCGACGGCCTCTGGCCTCTGGGAGGGTGCGGCGGAGGACGCCGTGGTGCGCACCGCTACGAGTGCTGCCCCGCGCAGAGGCCAAGATGGCCCTGGCGGGAGCGGCCGATGCGCAGCTTCCCACACAAAGTGGTCCGGCTCCGCCAGCGTCGCCGAGCGCGCTCGAGCCGCGGGCCGGCCAGTGCTTTGCGTGCCGCTGACGGGTGGCGCTGCTGCTGGTGGCTTCTGGTTACCGTCGGCCTTCCAGGTGGGGTCGGAGTAGACGGGGTCGGAGGATCTCGCCACATCACCCATGCCTCGGCGATGCTTCGTCGATGCATCTGCGATGCATCGGCGACGTCGGCGATGCAGCGGCGGCGTCCGCGTGGAGAAGACCAGGCTCCACATCGATCCGCATCGCCGATGCAGCGGCGATGAGGCGCGATCCTCCGCCCCCATCTGCTCGGACCCCATCTGGCGGCCTAGAGATCCCCTTCCCTCGCTTTCACCTTCCTGGGAGTCGGGGATGGGCAGCATCAGTACCTTGGTGCTCCCCCGCAGCCTGGGGCCATCCACGAGAGCCTGAAGGGCGGGCACGCGGCGCAAGATGGACTTGTGCACGTGGACCTGAGCGTCACTGAGCCGCACGCACAGCGTCGGCTCTGATAGCACCTGCCAGCCGACACAGACAGACAGAGAGAGAGGGAGAGAGGTCAGGCCGTTTTGCTCAGATCAGCACTCGGAGCCTGCAGTGACCTGCCACCAGACCAGAACTACTGAAGCATGGTACAGGCGTTTTTTCCCAATCGAAACGATAGCGTCTGCGCTCTTTGATGCAAGCTCTCTCTCTATCACTCTCTCTCTCTTTTTCTCTCTTTCTCCCCCTCTCTGTTCTCTCTCACTCTCTCTTCTCTGTCTCGTTTTTTTTTTTTTGTTCTCTCTCTCTCTCTCTCTCTCTCTCTCTCCCCCCATCTCTCTCTCTCTCTCTCCCTCTTCAGTCCTTCTCTCTCTCTCTCTCTCCCCCGCTCTCTCCCCAAATATCTCGCCCTATATAAGTTATATCATTTGTTTGTTGTTTTGTGTGTGCCATTTTTTTCTATGCATATATAGATCGGGGTCTGAACGCACACACACACACCATAAACATGTGTGTAGGTATGCATACATTATACATATAGACATACAGCTGGCCAAAGGCCGATAAAGAGGTTTGGGGGTGGAACCAACGACGGGACAATCGCATGTGGTGCTGACGGGTTTCCACATTTCGTTATACATAACCATGTTCTTGACCGTTTCCTCTGAAACCTCCCGCTGCGTGACCCCGAAGCCCCAGGACAACGCACCCACGCACGTGAGGGTGGTTTCGCAGGGCTGCCTGAGGTTCCGGCTGCAGAAAGCGAGCAGGGCCCGGGCCCAGCGTAACTCACGACGAACAGCGGGCCACAGACGAGCAACCCGACCTTTGTAGATCCCCCCAAACTCGTAGATGGCCCCGAAGCACGAGGAGGAGCTCCCTCCTAATGAGCGCCCTGGAGGTGACATGCGAAACGAGCCACGACGAAAAACCTCCTGGAACCCAAGATAGATACTCCACAGGAAACGAAGGTCAAGGAAGATCACCGCCGAGTTCGAGTCGAAGGACCAGCCCACATTCTCATCGCCCACTCCAGTCTCCACCCCACGGGTGGGCAAACCCAGTGCACGCATGTGATGATCCACCTGACGATCAGCAGCAGTAGGCGACTCCCGTGACAATCACAACGCGACGAAAATGTCAATGAACTCTGCGTGGGCAATCGCTGAATCGATGACGGGCGCGGGCTGGCGGTCCACTAGCACACGCCCAGGGGCAACACTAGTCGCGCGTGCTGAAACGATACAGCTCACACTCTGACACAACCAGAAACATCTTGAAGCCCATGGGGGGACACATGAAACACTGGTATACGAACTGCGATGGCGACGCGGCCTGCCCAGACTTGGCGACAGAGATCCCCAACGCACCAGCTAGGATTTTAGGCAACCCGAAATATCTTGGAACCCACGAGGGTAGGAACAAGGTTAAGAAACGTCGGCGATATCGACTCCTGCCGCACACTGGTAGATGACTGTTGCCGCCCCTGCCTCCGCCTTGACCTCAGGCGGTTCGTCGAACGACTGAGATGGACTCCGCCCGTGCAAGATGAGGCGCAAGGCCCCAGCCTTTCACACGCGAAGGAAACCCCGCCGAATGGATGACGCCAGCATGGGGTCCGACAAGCATTTCTTATGCAATCGGGGCCCCTTGACATTGGGGTACGTGCGTGCCCGCTTCGGAGCATGCTCGGCGCCCTGGGCGAGCCCCCGCCCACGGGACAGAAAACATGCAAATATACGGCGGCCGAGGCCCAGGCTGGCGTCCCCGACGGGTTCGGACAGGGACCGAGGCGCGGAACCTTTTTGCTCGGTGGCGCAATCAGATGGACACGGTCAAAAGTTACTGGCGCAATCACGGCAGACTCCGAATCGCATGATTGCGCAGCGCGAAGCTCAAGGGTCCCTGCAGGCGAGGAGGTCGGACGGGGGCACTCCGACAGCGTCGACCGCCTCCTGGATCATCGCCAGAGCCTCTTGCTGACCGGCCGCGGGAGCAGCCGGCCCCGTAGGCCGCGGACAGCTTGGGCCAATGTGTATGTCATTCATGGCGCGAGTGGCGTCGGACGGCATCTCACGGCGGCGACTGGCACGCTGGAGCCACTTCGCAGTGGAGCGGGAGAGGCGTGGAGCCATAGAACTTCGATCATCTGTCCCCGGGACCGGCAAATGGAAGAGATCGGGGCGCCGCCGCTGCCAAGGTGAACTGCCCCCACGAACATCTGCCCTGCGAGAGGGCGAAGTCGCAGAACCCCTTCCGAGATTGCTGGGGGCGGTCGGGGGTCCGCTTCGAAGGCCCGACGCGACGTTCTTCCTTAGCTTTCGTGATCTGCATAAGTATTCCGGCCTTGCGCTCAACTCGTTTGGCCGTGCGGTCCAGCAGCGCTGGCGCCGCCATCGTGCGGCCGTCCTCACGGGTGGCCCCCGCAAGCGCCCCTGCCTCGTCAACGAAACCAAACTTCGAGAGGCCGTCGGCCCGAACTTTGGCCTCGCCCTTGGACTCCTCTTTGGGCTCGCCTTTGGCGGGGCCAGCAGGATAGGAAGCAACGTCGCGGGCCTCGTGCTCCATGGCGCACATGTACTCGCACAGCTGCGCCTGCCGCAGCATCGCCTCCACCCCGACGATGTTCGGAACGTCGAGGAAGTATCACGTCACCAGGTATCGCATCATACGCATGATCGGCTCGTGGTGCGTCGCCTCGAAATCGTCGCGCGCTAGCCGGTAGTAGGACACAAGCTGGTGGACGTGCTCAATGGCGCCACCACGCGTGCGCTCCAGGAAGCGAAGGCACCACAACGTGGTCCACGGGCCGTCGAGCGGCCAGCCAAGGAACGGCCCCTCACGCATGCGGCCCGCGCTCTCGAGGAACAGGGCACGCCGACGAGCGCCATCTGAGAGGCACGTCGCTGGCTGGAGCATCGCGCCCACGTCGGCTTCGGCCCCGCGGTGGGTGACCTGCGACGTGGAGATCTTCTCGATGGCCGTCCAGCTGCCGTCGGGCCCCTCCTTTGTGCCGACCTCGCCGCGGATCAGCTCCGCGCCGTCCACCACCTCTGCAGCGCCTCGGTTGGCCGTGGTCGCGGTCTCGACGCGGACCTACTGCCCACTGCCCTCCGGGGCCTGGGACGGCGGCGGCCGGCGACGCTGCCGGCGCGGCTTTAACAGTGGCAGCGGCGGCCAGCGCGGCGGGGGCCACGGCCGCGGGCGCTGGGGCCGCGCTAGCCGCGGGCGCGGGGGCCGCGGCGAGGGCCGCCGGCACCGGCAGGGGCCCTCCGGCGCCAGCCACTACGCCAGCTGCTACCGCGGCGCCAGGGGCAGCGGCACCGCCGAAGGCAAAGGACGCCACTGCGGCGGACGGCGGCGCCAGCGGGGCGGCCGGCCGCGCGCTCGGCGGCGAGGTGCACGTCCCGGACGTAAGGCCCCAGCTCGTTCTTGATGGCCGTCTCGGCCGCCGCGAGCGCGCGCCTGAACTAGCACAGCTTCCCGATCGCCAGGCTGGCAGGGCGGACCCTGCGAGCATCCGTGAAGCGCGCCGCCGCCACCGGGCCATCGGACATATCATACAGCTCCTCGCGCACGTCACCGTCGGCTGTCGAGACGAGGACGCGATAGACCGACCACATCACATCAACTGGATTCAGAATCGCCAGGCCCCACGCACGCCGCTGATGCCACAGCGGCGCGACTGCGTACTGGGCCTGCGCCCACTCCCGGATCCCTGCCGGCGCTGGCTCCAGCGCCATCCTGGAGTGCCTTCGGCGAGCGGGCTGGGATCAGCCGCCAGGCCGCACCGACGCCGAGGCGGGAAAGCTGGAACACGAGCACGGCGAGGCTCAGCGGCAGCGCGAGGCTGGCCTATAGGCGGTGAGCCACGACGCGCCCTGGGCCGCGGGCTCCTCCGCGAGGCTGGGCGCAGGCGCCTCGTGGGGCGCTGGCGGTGGGCAAGCCGCAAGCGAAGGCACGTGGATGGGCGCGCCCTGCGGGCACGCTGGGCACGCAGGACACCTCGCAGACCGCCCGGCGACGGCCTCTGCGAGAGCGCGCCGACGACGCAGTCCACGCGCCGCCCGCCAAAGAGCCAGGCCATGCGGAACGGGGGGCCCGCTGTCTCCCGGCGCGAGCCGGTTTCAGATTTTGCGGGCATGCTTTTAGATTGCGCGGCCCCTTCTCCCACAACGCTCTCAGAAAGTATTCACGCGCGCGCATGGCCATGTTGGTGTATACGCATGTACATGGGTGTGTATACACACTGGTATATGCATATATACATATATGTAGGGACATATTCCTTCTACCTATCAAACTACAAGGAAAAACCCGGCATGTCACCGACACCCCCCCCACATGGACCCCACATGAACCCCACAGGCCCCCAAGAGAGCCCCACAATGCTTCGAGGCGGCCCAAAATACCCCGAAGAGAGCGACGCGAGGCCTACATCGGGAGCCCAAGACAGCAGAAGGCACTCCCGAGACGTCCTCTGCAAGGCCCAAGAGGCCCCAAGACGGCCCCAGAGTGCTCCAACAAGACCAAACATGAGCTCAAGACGGCCCAGGATGCCCCCGCAAAGACCTCCAATACGGCCTCAGCAGGCCAAAAACCTTAATTTTTCATTGGTTCTTGAACGACTCTGTGCTTCTCGCCTTTTCTGGCCACGAACGGCCCAAGAATGGTCTGCGAGCTTCCGAGGTCGCCCCGAGATGGCCTCCAGGCGGCCCAATGGGGCCCCAAGATGGGCCAATAAAGCGCCAAGAAAGCCAGGGAGCGCCCAAAAGACGCCTAAAAGACCTCCAGGAGGGCCCCAACAGAGCCACGGGATGCTTCAGAGAGGGCCCGAGAGAGCCCCAACACGGCCCCAGGACGGCCCAAGCCCACCCAGACAGCCCACGAGGGCCCCAGGACAGCCCAAGAAGGCCCTCCGATGGTATACAAAAGCACCAACAGGAGCTCCACTCAGTCTGAGAGCCGTCAAATTCATTACACTCTGATTGACCTGAGCCGTCGTCCTTGGCTCGGCTGGCCCGCGCGCCGAATGGGCCCGCGTGGCAGAGAAGGAAAAGGAGCAGGAGGCGGGACGGAGGAGAAAAAGGAATAAGAGGAAGGAGCGGTGAGGATTGCGAGAAACAGGAGGGGCCTCAGGAAGACGGAAGGAGGGCACGGAGGAGCAGGAGGAGGGGAGGGCAAACGGCGGAAGCAGAAGACAGCTTTCACTGGGCCCCGTGCTCTCGCCGAGGCGCTGGCCACATCTCTCATTCAATATCGTGTTGCCGCTTCGCTCGCGGGACTCCCAGCCTCTACCAGGTCAGCATCCCGTCCTCCAGCATGCGGCCGCCGACTTTCCTCTCAATTCTTGACGCTTCGCGTATCACCAGCCCGTCCAGAATTGATTGCCAGCTTTCCCGAGGCCTGTTGGAGGCTATCCTGAGCCATGCTCGGCTAGAGGCTGTCGGAAGCTATTCTGAGCCATGCTCTGCTATGTCGGGCCATATTCAGGCTGTCTTGAGGGCTCTTGGAGATCTGTCGGAGGCTATCTTGAGCCATGCTTGGCTATCTTGGGCCATTTTGGATGCCATCTTGGGCTATCTAGCGCTCTCTTGGAGCCATCTTGGGCCAAAAAGGGCGGGGTGGAGAATCTTCAGGAGAGGCTGGGAGGCCTCTCGGGGCCGTCTTGGGCCCCATTGTTCAAAAAGAGCGGGGGTCCTCAATTCAGGTCCCCCCCTCGGAGGCTCTCAAACGGCGTCTTGGGGACGTGTTGGAGCGCTCTTTGGAAGCCTCTTGGGCGATCTTGAGGCCGTCTTGGGCCTTCTTGGGCCCCTCTTGGGGCTCTCTTGGGCCATATTGGGGCCATCTTGATGCCTCAGGGGCCCATCGGAAGCGAAAAGACGAGAATGCCAAACACATTGACTTTCCTTAGGCTTTTGAAGGGTTTTGGCTTCTTGGAGGTCGCCGTGGAGGGCTCGAAGGGCACTTGGATCCGTCTTGAGGACTCTTGGAGGTGTGTCGGAGGCTATCTTGACCCATCTTGAGGTATCTTGGGCCATCTTGGAGGCCATCTTGCGACTTGGAGCGCCTCTTGGAGCCATCTTGAGCCGTCTTGGACGCTCTAACGCCTCCATCCCCCCCCCCTCCAGGTCCAGGGGAAGGTTACCCCTCCCCCGAGCAGGGGAAGGAAGGGGAAGAGAGAAGACCAAACTTGCTATACCACCGTAGCCCTAAAAGGGCTGGTGGGACTTCCACCTATAGACTTCCAGCCTCCATCAGCTCAGCACTCCGACCTCTAGCGTCCGGCATCCGACTTTCCACCTTCACCTCCACTCAAGCGTCCACCAACGCTGCGCCCTGAGCCCCGCCCCGGGCGCTACCGCGCACTCGCCTCGCCTCGCCTCCGCTCGCACAACTCCCACACACCTCATTGAACAATTGTGTTCTCGCCTGCGCCCAGAAACATCGTAGGCGCAAGGATCAAGATTAGAAGGCGAAGCGCAGCGAGCCTTAACATCTTGTATATATATATATATATACACATATATGCATAATTGTGTTTATGTGCGTACCTACATAACAGCCAGCGTTGACTCCAAATAGATGATATGATTCAAACCAAGGAATCAGAGGAATCAAGCATGCTTGGAATCCACAACTCAGCAAGCAAGCAAGCGTACAAGCAAGCACGCAAGCAAGCAAGCAAACACGCAAGCAAGCAAGAAAGCGTGCAAGCGCGCAAGCAAGCAAGTGCGCAAGCAAGCAAGCAAGCAAGCAGGCATAGGCATAGGCGTAGGCATAGGAGTTAGGGGGAGGCACAGGCACAAGCATAGACATAGTCATAGGAATTAGGGGGGTGGGCATAGGAATTAGGGGGGCAACGGACCAACTAGTAGGATTTGAGCGAGGACTCCTATAGGGCAAGCCTATTTGGATAATATCTACCGATGTATATATATGCAGGTATACATACAAACAAATAAATTCGCACCCACACACACATAATATATATATATATATAAGACTGCATTGGCGCTTCGCGCCATGCACCTTGGTCCTTTGAATTTCGCGCGCAGGCGGCGTGCGTGCGCGTGTACATTCGCGCATAAACATGCGCATGCATATGTGCACGCGCACATGCATGCACCTTATGCATATACAGATATACAAATATTATCCCAGTGCGACCCTACCTAGGAGTTGGAGCCTCTAGGAAAGCAACATTAGTAGGAGCGGTAAATGTCATGCTATGCTATGCTATGCTATGATCTGCTCTGCTATGCTATGCTATGCTGCGCAATGCTGTGCTGGGCTAGGCTAGGCTAGGCTATGCTATGTTATGCTATGCCATGCTATGCTGCGCAGTGCTATGCTGCGCTATGCTATGCTACGCTATGCTTTTGCTTTGCCTTCGCTTTTGCCTTCACTTTTGCCTTTGCTTTTGCTTGGCACCCAGGGAGCGCAACTGGGGGAACCGCGCGTTTGCTTTTACCTTTGCTGTTGCTTTTGCTTGGCTCCCAGGGGACTGGGGGAACCGCCCGGGGCGAGTTGCACTGCCCTGCCCCTTTGAGAAAGAGAGTAAGAACCCTCTAGGCAGAGCCTAGGTAGGGAATAATGTGTATTATATACATATGCATGTATATGGATATTGTGCCGACACATATTCCGATCCACATATTGTTATAAGGCCGGGGACCCCAGAAAAAGCGCCCCCACCCCCCACCCCCCCGCCCACGAATTTGGCCCACCCCGGGCCTTTCGTGCAACCATCCAGACGACCCGGGAGAACCGCACGAGAGCCCGAAGACGGCCCCAGAGGTCTCCAAGCGTTCTGGCGCGCTTCCGAAACGACCCCAGGGAGCCAATACGGTCCACGACGACCAAAAAGAAGCCGTCATACGCCCAAAGATCGTTCCAAAACGTCCCAAGAGGTCTCCAAGAGCACTCCCAAGAAGGCCCCAAGAGGCACAATTCATTGATTTTCTGTCGGTTTTTGGTGATTTTTAGGGTTCTCCTCTTTTCGGCTTCCCGACGCTTCAAGACGGCGGTCTTCTGGGCGTCCGAAGCTGCCTGGGAGGCTCGAAAATCGCCCCACAACCATCCGAAAGAGTTTCCAGATCGTCCAAGAGAGCCCCAAGACGGCACAACAGAGTTCCAAGATGGCCTAAGAGAGCCCCATGACGGCCTAAGATGGCCGGCCCTAAGACGCCCTCCGAAGCATACCAAATCGTGACCCGGTCGTTCAAGGAGACCGCGGTTGGAGGCAGGGTTGTCCGAGGAAGCCCCTGAAGGCCCCCAGAAGACGCCCAGGAGGCCTCCAAAAGATTAAAAAAAACCTGAGAAACTTCCGTGGGGATCCCACAGGCTCTCCAAGGAGGAGCCTCTGCAAAAAGAGCGGAGGAGAAAGGGGATAATACGCAGGGTATGGCGAGAATGATAAAAAAGCATGGAGGAAGGATAACGAATAACATTAATATAACGGCGATGCCAGACGAAGCAACAATAAGTGATCGTTAAAGTGTCGCCTCGACCTTGCTGTCATTCCGCCTGCATACTAAACTTCAGGGACCAAGGTGCATGGCGCGAAACGCCAATGTAGTATATGTATGTATGTATGTATGTATGTATGTATGTATGTATGTATGTATGTATGTATGTATGTATGTATGCATATACCTGTTGCTGCATATTGAATGCCGAAGAGTGTGCACGCATACTTTTGCATCCTGTCTACTTGTAAACGTCTAAATGTAAACACATGCATGTATGTA